AGCAACTTAAAGAAGTCCAGACGCTTTTCTTTGCAAGCTCCTTTGACTACAATGACCTGGATGACTGAGAACCTTCACAGACATTAAGTTTTCTCCTGTTACCAGAAAACAGCTTAAACAACCAGAGTATCAATGTGTATAACCATCACTCTATGTGATAGGTTATACTGGCTAAGTTTCGCTAATGAAACTATGACACAAATGTAAAGTTTAAAAACCAACCAAACAAAGACAGACAGGTTAAATGTTTTTGTCAGGTCTGAGGCTTTCATGCGGTTAGCTAATGTTGACGCTATGAGGGCTCAAAGATGCTGAAAAAAGTTGGGGATTAAAAAGTGCTTATGTTTGACCCAAACATATGGACTTTTATTAGCTTGTAAATATTTTCATGGGTACATTACACAATAAAAGATAATCATTAGGAGCCAGTGGACAGAGGCTGAAACACTTTCATCTTAAGGAAGCTTGGAGGCTGTTGAAACACTATCAAACCAAATGTTAAGATTAGTTTGCAACATGTGGGGCATGTCTCCAAAGGTTGATTCTGTTCATCTGGATATAGCGTTTTCAGTAGGAGAAACGTTTCATCACTCATACAAATCACTTATTCAGTCCCAGCTGACTGCAGATTTCCCCAATCTTATAAACATGAGGGCATGGTTTAAAAAGGAACCAGCAGATGGCAGAATTTACCCTTTGATGCGCTAAGACCGAGTGACATGGTGCTCTGTTTTGCTTCTGCTGAACTCCAAAAATACTACAAATAGTATTTCAAGTTCTACACACAGTTGTTTAGGGAAGTTGGCACACCCAGGTCAGTGGACCTTCAAAGGTGCAGAAATGCTACGGTGCCTTTATTTAAAAAACAAAACATGCATTTCAGAAGTGTAAAAAAGCCAGCAGCACTTTTAGCCCAGAAGACCAGTTGACTTTTAACTGGAATCAGGTAAAGAGAAGAAGCATCCTCCTGGCAATCCTTCCAAACAAACTTGTGTTTTTGCCTTTTCTGCGAGCACTGAGCAGTCTGACCTTGGGCGAATTTGCTGGGATGTCTCCCCCTAAGAAGATTGTGGTACTGCGTCAACACACTCGAACGCGCCAAACCAGCAAGCTATCAAAACGTCTGCTTTTATAGAGGCGCTCGCACTCATTGATGATCACTTAATCAAGTGCATCTGATTAGCAGCACCCAGCTGCCAATTACCCTCTTAATTCCTATGGCAGCAGTAAAGGTGGGCTTAGTTTTTCACGCTATAACACAACACCATTGCTATAGTTTTTTTTAAACATTACAAGCTACACCACGTTGAGGAGGAAAATAAAGCAGAGAAACCTAAAGTTAATGAATCTACCATCTACTATCTAGCTTTTTTTTAGTTGAACAGCTTTTATTAGGTTTTTATACAAGGCAAGTTTTGACAGAGCTTCACAGTGTGTAGACCCTGGGTTAATGAGTTGACGCCCTTTCTAATTTTACAACAGTATAAGTATGATTCCCCCAACACACAGCTCTTTCTGGAGCAACGATTTCAAGCATCTCCAGGCATGCCTTCACAAGTGGTGAGGGGACGATTTATGTCAACTGCTTAGAGCACACCTCTTATTGCACTCAGTGCTCGTGTTGCATGTGTGTGTGTGTGTTTACATGCTGGGAAACACAAAGAATTCCCACATAAATGTAATGATTGCGGAATATGCCTGACAGACGGGGTCTCACGTTTCCCTGCTATCCTAATGTAACACTGACACAACCACACACGGCGGGGTAAAAATCACAAGCAGCCACAGTGGAGCATCAGCTCTGGACCTTCAGGCCAACATTGTATCTCGCTGTAGACAGCTGTTGTTTGTTAGGCGAGGCAAGGCGAGGTCGGGCACTAAGCAGCGACGAGTCTAGCCGAGTGTGCCTGAGCGAGGAGTGCCAGTTCTGGTATTTTAGGCAGTCAGACACTGTCACCTGTCAGCGAACTAGTCTAGACACGGTCTCCCACGTGGTGCGAGAATAAGCTACACAACGATATCAACCTCTCAGCAGCTAGTCAGGAGGACGGCAGTGTGTGCAGAACGGCCGCAGAGCGCAGATCGCCAGATACAGACTGATGTGAACAGGCAGGGAGGGTAACGCTGGGTTGTTTTACGGTTGATGTTTCAGAGTTCTTGGAAAGTGAAATGGGCCAAAGTGAAAGTGAGGCGCAGTCCGACACCCTGGCAGCGTTCTTGCAGGACCTTTCCTCTCATGATCATAATGATGGTACGTCTCTTCCAGGAAAAACCAACAGCAGCAAGGAAGGAGGTGCGCTCCAATATATTTGCAACTGACTGTTTACTCCTTAGCAGTTTTGTTTCAAATTAAGGTAAAATGTTTTATCCTACTTAAAAATGTAACTGCATTTTTTTCTATTCAGAAATATATCCAGAGAACAAAATATACAAAGCTATGGCAGAATGTGGCTGCGGCGCTGATGACCACCAGCTTTTTGAAGCAGAGTGGTACTGGGGCAACATCTCAAGGTACTTTATATTTCTATCACTTTTTCTTTCTTTCAGCCAACACCACTGTTACAGCATATCTAATTTTATTGACGTTGTCTTCCTCCGATCGTTATAATTAACAGAAACCTTCATGTCCATTTGATTTGTTCAGAGAGGAAGTAAACGAGATGATGAGAAACACTCCTGATGGTACATTCCTGGTTCGAGATGCTTCCAGTAGGATTAAAGGAGAATACACGCTGACATTAAGGTAACTACTAGAAGATTAGTGACAAGTATGCATATGGCTACACTTTCGTAAAGTGTATCAAACACAACTAGTTAAAGACTGTACCAGGTTTTATAAGTTTTATTGCTGCATTGCAACCAGTCATCAGTAGTCTGTATGTGAAAACAAAGTTAACCCCAAATTAAATATATATATTGTAGTCAAAGGTTAGTTATTATTTCCTGGTCTCGGAGTCTAAGTTTAGTTTTACTGGTTTTAAAGTGTAACTTTATACGTTTTGTGGTTTCGCTCTAATTTTAGCGGAATTGGGACAGACCAGGTTTCAGATATAAAGCTTTGTTGATTAGAGTTTGGCGTAGACTCCAATGTTCAGCAACATAACACCCTGTCCCCACAAGATGTGTTTCACGCGTGTTTTTCCAGTCATCCATCTTACATTTGGATGAAAGAACACACACACACACACACACACACACACACACACACACACACACACACACACACACACACACACACACACATTTTAGAGATCTAAAAGTCTCCTGTCAGGAAAAGCGAGAGTGACTAAACAGAACCAGGAGAGGCTCCAATGGGGAACAAAGCTCCCTACTTGCTAGCCTAAAATGACAAGAAGTACCATGTTATTTATGGGACAACTATCCTTTGACTTTTGCAGAAAAGACGCTTCAAACAGACTAATTAAAATCTTCCATAATGGCGGCAAGTACGGCTTCTCTGAGCCACTGGCTTTTTCCTCTGTAGCGGATCTGATCCAGTATTACCAGAAGAAGTCACTGGCCCAGTACAACTCTAAACTGGATACACGGTTACTCTATCCAATATCCAGAAACCAGCAGGTAAACTTTTTGGGGCAATTTAACTGTGAACTTTTGTTTTCTTACATTACAACAACATCGCAACAAGACGTAATCAACTGAAGACTTTTACCACATGGTCTGTTACTGGTATTGGAACAAAACCGCCGTGCTAATGTCCAGACTAAATCCTTTTTTACCGTTTTGTGCATATAGCAGCAGGTTGTGATGGAAGCTGACATTGATGCAGCTGGAGAACAGCTAAGGATATTTCAGGATCAATACAAAGAAAAAAGCAAAGAGTATGACCGCCTATTCGAGGAGCTGAATCTGACCTCCCAGGTACATGATCTTAATCCTTTCTTTTCAGAGCCCTTTCCTTTAAAGACTTAAAAACAAACGGTTTGTTTTCTCTTCTTCCTAGGAACTGCAGAGCAAGCGAACTGCCATTGAAGCTTTCAGCGAAATCATTCGGATCTTTGAGGAGGAATGTGAAACCCAAGAGCGCTACAGCAAGGAATACATCGACATGTTCCTCACATTAGACAGCAGTACAGAATCCGAGAAGTACGTTCACAAAGCACCTGGTTTTCCACTTTTTGTTTAAAAACAAGTTGAATTAATAATAGTTGCTAGATTAGTTGAGTAATTCCTTCATTTTTACTTTCAGAATTCAAAACAATTCAGATGAACTACAGTCGAGGGTGGAAGAGATCCACAGCAGCAAGAAGAAGTTAGAGGAGGAACTGAGGAACAAGGCACTGGTTCACATGGAGGTCGACAGGAAAATGAACAAACTGAAGCCTGACCTTGTGGAGCTCCGGAAGCTCAGAGATCAATACCTGGTGTAAGTTCAACCCTTCACTGTCCCATGTTTAGGGTTGTTGTACAGTGGTTTCAATTTAGGTCCCAAAATTTCCAAAATAACAAGAGATCGGTGTCAGCATGGGCCAAACTATGACTTTAAACATTGGTGTCAGGGCTGGATTTTACAATCAGTGCGTCAGTGAAGCAAGGACTGAAAGACAAAACACAGTGTGTCCTGCACAGCGTCACAGCTACTGGAAGATGCGTGTTGTGACTTCACAGTCAAACGAGTATCTCAATCTGATTCTTACATTTCATCACATACCAATAACACAGCTGCGTTATAAACATAGAAAATAAATCAGCTGTTCTCCATGTTGTCACAGCTGTGCAGCTCGACTATGCTTGGTATGGAGCTTTATCATAAGCCTGATTGGTAGTGCGTGTCTTTCTAGCCAACTGTTGCCCTTTCACACGAAGTAAACCTGAACAAGTATCAATATAGTTAGCCTAAAGCACAACTGTAAATGTACTTAATTTACTGGGCAGTACAAAAAACAAACAAACATGTATATACTGTATCTCTCTTTTTACTGTGTAACCCTTTGATCGATGTCGTTGATCTGGATTGGATTTCTAGCTTATAGGTGAAATAATCTCCTTTTTAAACTTTAAAGTGACATTAGTGAATCAATAATCATCCACTAATACAAAGTGTGTGCTTCTTTGTAATAAGTGCTTATACTTTTAGCACTTTAAGTATATTTTGATGCTTAAAGATTTGCACTATTACTTAACCAGTGGTCACAATCCTTCTTTAAGTAAAGGGACTGAACACTTAAAGAGTAAAGTCAATGTTCTACAGCGGCACTTTTTATGAATACCATCCGTATTAGGCGAAAGTGATGCCAGTGAGTCTGAAAATCATGGCTAATGTTTTCTACACCAATTTACTGCTCTGTATTGATTTGGATTTTCTGATCAAATAGCCTGATTACTCATTGGTGTTCCTTTAAAAAAAAAAAAAATCCTGGAAATTACCCTGATAAACATGTAACAGCACTCCAACTGTTTTTTGTCCATGTTTCAGTTGGCTAACTCAACAAGGCACCAGGCAGAGCCAGATAAATGACTGGCTCGGTATTAGGAGTGAAGAAGAAGAGTAAGTATCCTTTTTCTCTTGGCCTGTGGCCACATTAGTCAAATCTTTTGGAGTAAAATGTCACAAAGGCATGTTCACTGACAACACACATACTGTATATGTGGCTCATCATGCCACCCATGTTGCTATTTTTGGTTCATATGATCGATACTAACACCAACACTCAACAAAACTGAGCACAACTGCTTCAAATCATCATACCGCTCCCTCTCCACCGGCTAGCCCATACACCCTAGCAGATGATACCCACCAGGAGGAGAGGAGCTGGTACGTTGGTGCTATGAGACGAAAGGAGGCGGAGGAGCTGCTGAGAGGGAAGAGAGATGGGACATTCTTAATCAGAGACAGCCAGACTCAGAGAGGCTCCTTTGCCTGCTCTGTCGTGTGAGTGTTTTAGGTACTTAATGTTTGGATGCTCTGTAGATAAATCCTGTAGATACCAAATAATCAGTTTCCTCTCTCATACAGTGTGGACGGGGAAGTGAAACACTGTGTAATTTACAGGACGTCCACGGGATACGGCTTCGCTGAGCCCTACAACCTGTACTCATCACTGAGAGAGCTCGTCCTTCACTACCGTCACACATCCTTGATCCAGCACAACCAGCAGCTGAATGTAACCCTGGCCTGGCCCGCTCTCAGCCAGCAGCCCAGCTGAGACACACCAGCACACACCCAGTAACAGTACTGTGGACACACCCGAACAGACACTATTACCAGGCTCAAAACAGCATACCGGTTAGTGTCATCACCGCACTAAAATATTCAGTGCTAAAATTGGATAATAATCTAAACATTGCTTTTATGCCAAACAAAAGTCATTTTATTACTCTTTTGTTATTATTATAATTTCTGTGTTTAAAAAGCCAATTTACTTTTCATCACCAGCTAAAGTTTGCCAGAAGCTTTTGCAGAAGTCAGCAGTAAATATTCAACTAAACTGTCCTAGTACAGAATTCAGCCTCACTAGTTTCCCCAAAGTGTTGCAAAAAGCTGTGCAGTGAATTGGATTCTGAATACAACACTTCCATTAAAAGAGTAACTAAAGCAAAGGCACAAAATATTTAGGAAAACACAAATAACAAAATTTGTCATTGCAATGTTGATTTCAATTATTCTTTAGTCCTGAAGCTAAAACAATCTAGCACAAGTTTCTGTATTTTTTTCTAGACGCAAGCACAAGCACTATTTTAATGAAGAAGCCAAATATAAAATAGCTTCACCGCTATCAAGTTTTTGTATTTATAGTTGGCCACTCCTGACCTCTACCACACTTGTTTTAACTTCTTTGAACAAAAACAAACCAGTGTGCATTTCTTAAATTGATTTCTTAAGCTTCGTAATCATCTAACAAATGCATAGAAACAGTGAAGCAACAACAATATGAACAGAAAAAAAGCCCAGTATGGGACAGAACCACCCCGCATTGCTGGCTATGGTTATTTTAAGGCCAGAGCATCCACACAAACACTTTCAAAATAAGATAGCCTGAATACACACAGGGGATTGGATTCCTGTATTTTAAGACTTCTCCAGTTCAACTTCACATTTAGATGATATTGATATTTTCATTTTCTGATAAGGAGCAGCACATTTGGATCAAAAAGTTTTTGAAATACCAGGTGTTGGGTGTAAGTGTGTGGGGTGTTAGAACTAATGGAGCAAGAGGTTGAAAGGCTAGTCTAACTGCTTTAATGGTGACTGATCTGGTCACATTTGAGGTTTCTTAGGCACAAACATGACATTACAAAACTACATTAAGTTATAGTTATGAAAACTAACCTTAATAAGGGTCAGTAAGGAATTTAACAGGATTTGGACCTGCTCAGTGAGAAATCTAAATTTAACAGTCATTTGGTTTGAAGTGATTTTGGTTGGAGTCCAGGAGATTTGTTAATTCAATTCAGTTCTATTTTATTTATTACAACAACAGTCGCCTCAAGGCGCTTTATATTGTAAGGTAGATCATACAATAATACATACAGAGAAAAACCCAAGAATCATATGACTCCCTATGAGCAAGCACTTTGGTGACAGTGGGAAGGAAAAACTCCCTTTTAACAGGAAGAAACCGAGCGGCAGAACCAGGCTCAGGGAGGGGCGGGGCCATCTGCTGTGACTGGTTGGGGAGAGTGAAGGAAGATGGGATAAAAAACAAAGTTAAGAAGTCTGATGTGAGGTGCCCTTACAAGGTTATACTACAGGACTTCCAGGTTCATAGCAAACTGTAGAATAGTGCCTTTAAGTGCTTCTTTCCAACCAACAGACAACAACAGTCTGATGAACCAAACAGATAGACAAACCAATCTCTAGTTGAATATCTTATAACAAGGTATTTGCTACTTCCCTAAATGCATGGCGTCTGATTATCAAAACAAAGGTTAATGATTTTAATGATTTTAGCCATGACCCTGGTGGCTACAAACTGTCAACAAAAGACACAAGGAAAAAGAAGCAGGTATGATTGGTTTGTGAAAGCAGTGTGTGTGTTGTGGCGTTTTTTAAAGGCTTTATATTGAGTTTAGATTTTAAATTTTCTACTTTTTTGGATTGAGAATGATAAAAAAAAAAAAATAAGGGGGATTGGTACCCACTAACAAATTTCGGTTATATCAACACCCCTAGCACATAACATAGAGACTTACAACTGACCAAACAGCTGTAACAATTTTTATCATTACTGCTAGAATTTTGCAGGCATATTCGCTAGCTAGGTATTAACTAATAATGTAAAGATTCCAACTATGGGGACCAAAAACTGTATGTTACAATTAAATTAGATAGGTAATGATTTTTAGTTTTTTGAACCACACCAGCAGACCATACCTGAGAAGTTTTTTTTTCCTCTTAAGTGTAAATGAGATATATACACGGTAGAAAATTGTGTCTATATTGATAAAAGTATCATTTAAAATTAAAACTGTTTACATTTCAGATCTATCCAGGTATGTGTATCCCTGGATAAGTAGCAGGTTTGTAACCCAGGGACTTCTTTGATTGTGCAATTTTTGAGCAGAGATGAAGTGGTGCTTGTGGATATCATCGATTAAACTATTTTTATAGAGGAGAACACAGCAGTGAATAAACCTTGGTCTGCCCATGAATTAAGAAACAATTAAACATATATAAAGATATGAAGAGTTAATTTTACATATCGTGACCTGTATATATTTTTTCTTGTGTCATCGGGTCACATTAAAATGCACTTCTCTCTTTATGGTCACACGTTCTTGATTGTCATTGCGTATGTACACTTGAAGTTAAATGTCAGACTGTTTATTGCCACGAAGGGAGAGAAACTGTCAAGTTCCTACTTTGTGGCAGTGAAAAGGTGTATATGTTTGATTTTTGCATGCTATTATTGTGTAACAGGTTTTAAAAGGTATAATGCATATTACTAAATCAGAATATTATGGCTGGAAACTGTTTTGATACCAGTTCTGGTATTAGAATGACACCAGCAGCTATGAAATCAATTTTGTTTAGCCTCCATTAATGGTGCTAGGCACTTATTGCTATAGTTTTCCTTTAATGCGTCTCTTTTGATCACCTGTCAGTATTAGTCAAACTGTGACGAGTTCTTTATCAAAGCAAATGGAAATGTTTTCGTGTTGGCCGTGGTCTGTCGTGCTCGTAACCACATCAGTCTGTGAAATAGTGTTGCACAGTAGTAAACTGTCCATCGCTGCATTGCACAGGTCGCGGACGGAGTGCGCCACAATCGTCACATGACAGCGCGAGGAGGAGTGAAAGCAAAATGTAGGCGCCCGTCCTCC